ATCTACCTGCCATCAACCAACCATCCAATGCCATTTTGAAGAAGGTCAGTCTTCCCGACATAACGAAGAACTAGGTGGTATCATTAGTACAATAGACAAGCAGAAAATCGAGACCCTTAGCTGATTTGGTAATATGAAAGGCCAGTGCAACGTTACGAGCATTCATTTAGAGATCAAAATGACTTGCAAGCTACTCTTCTGAGGGTATCAATGATGAATAATGTGGATGCCACCCAAGACAAAGAATGCTTCAAAGAGCCCGCACATATGAAAGATAGATGTTTTTTGTCGAGATGCGAGAAAATATTGCAAACACCATCAAGATCATGCTCACGACATGGACGAATGCATACACCTTTGGAATCTTATCAATGAGTTAATTAAGATAGGAAAGCTAAAAGAGTTCATGGCCACGAGACACTTGGGTTAAAAATAAGGGAAGATGCTAGTGTTGGAGGCTCTGCTAGGCTCGGAAGAATAAAGGTCGTCCATATTGCTCGAATAATCCCACGAAGAGTATTCTTGATTTTTCCTCTTACCTTTTTGTACTCTTTAAATAAAAAATTTTCATTTAAATTTACTTTCCAATATGTTTGCAATGTCAATTCCTCATCTAAATATCTGTTAATAATGCATATAAAATTAATGAGTGTCACACTAACATAAGATCCAAAACCTTGAGAATAGGAAAATACTTGGGCAACTGAAGAAAACATAGGAAAGTAAGTTGGAAGTTTGGAGAGAAGAAGACTGATGGCCGCAACGCCAACAACACCCGACTGAGCACTAAAAGAAGACTGTCAGTCGTGACACCAAGATCATCCAGCTAAGCTCTGAAAAAAGACTGTTAACTGTAGCACCAAGGCTGAGCATTGAATGAAAACTGTCAGCCAAAACACCAAGATTGTCGGGTTGAGCACTATAAAAAGACAGTCAACCTTAGGGCCAAGATCACGCAAATGAGCACTACATAAAGACTGTTAGCCAATGAAGATTGTTTGCTGTGACACTAAGTTGCCCGGCTAAGCACTAAAAAAACTGTCAGTCGTAGCACCAGGATCAATAAGTTGAGCACAAAATGAAGAATGTTAGCCACAGTGCCAAGATTGTCTCGTTGAGCATTTAATGAAAGCTGACTATCGTGGAATCTAGATCACCCAGCCGAGCATTAAAAGAATGTCAAGAATGGCACCAAGATTGCCCCACTGAGCGCTCAAACTGGCCAAGACATCCACTCATTTCATAGCAACAACCCACTTAGTTTTCACGAACTTTAGAGTTATTGATTGAATATGAGAGGCCTCACATACTTTTAAGGTGTATCATTCAGCCTTCTTGAATAACTCGGGCTGCTCTAACTTCCATAGCGACTTCTCAAATGTCGGTGACCAGTTGGCCTCCAAGAGCGCGGAAGGGTAAGTTTTGGCAGAGGGAGAAACGGAGTACCGATCGATCGTAGTGAATCAACCATCAAGGTAATATTGAATTTTCATTCCATAAATTTAAGAAGGAAAACCCTATTTCTCGTATGTGGCAAAGGAAGCAAAGGAGCAGATTTGGTGGTCAATTTTTTAACCTCGTGACACTCAATCTTAGAGGCCCCCACCCCAGAAAACCAGTTTCGAACCGAACCTCCCCGGGAACCACCAGTCGGGTGACCTCATTCCTTGTAGGAAGATTGAGAAATGAGATACCTCATTTAGGGGAAACCTTAACTCTCCTCATCTCTCCTATTGGACCCCACTTGACTGACACACTCTCGAACAAACCAAACTACTCCTCAGCTCCTCGGCCGCGCGGTAGAGGTTGCATCATGAAATAAGTATTAGAACTAATGGAGATCTTAAATTTACTTGCAACAAAGTTCACCTCATTGGTTGAGACCTTACAAAGCACACCCAAGTTGACAGAAATTTTAATAAAGAACTTCTCACCCGCAGGACCAATTTTTCCACCCACCGCTGTGACAAATTTTTCTCCTATCACTATCACTCTTCCCTAGTCCCCGTCCACTTTGGCTTTAACCTTCACCATCCCCTTGACCAACCGAGCGACCACTTCTTTCAATTGTTGGGCCTCTGCAGCATTAGTGGCAGCTCATAGCTCTGCATTCATCTAACCAGACACTTTTGGGAATCAAAATCACCATACGGTCACTAGGTCGATATACTGGAGAATTGAAAGCAATTAGCGCTCGATATCGACCCTCTCGGCTTGAGGGAAGGTGTACCCTTTCTCTTCAGAAAAGTGACGTCGGACGGAACTGTACTAATTCCCTAACCCCTAATGGAAGAGGCAATGAAAAATTCACACTTCCAAGCTTTAGCCTAGTGTTCATACCGATAAACTAAAACCACCTGATTGACCAAAATTAGACATAGTCATCTAATTCCACTATTAACGAAAACATGGATCGCTTTTTTGTCAGTAGAAGATGATATAATTCTTAATTACCACCATTGAATTCTACTTCACCTACCCAAGAGTTCACGATATAATGGCAGGAACAGCCCATATCGCATGTGGTCATGATACATCATTAAATCATCAACGTAAATATCGGTCGCCCTTCCATCTGGACGAACAGACTGCAGCCTAATGGTGGGATGAAAAACAAAGGTTTTTTTTCAAATATGACGTTGTGTGTCGACGATAGAACGAAATGTTTGGGAGCGACCACCTAAGTAAAAGTCTGAGAAGTCCTCTTTTGATCCATATGAATGACGCGGATTAAGTAACAATTACCTAAAGACAAGGGAAATCTAAGAGCAAGAAATGAAAAATCAAAAGAAGCTCCCATAAGTCCCTCGATACCCATTTATAGAAATTCTATGAAAGATGAAGCGCCTCTGACAAGAACCAAGGCAGATGTCCATTCGAGCACATCCAGATTTAATATATATATATATATATATACATCTTATTTATTTCAAAAAATATGATTACATAAGAATTTTTGTCTGACAAGAAATACTTCACCAATTGAACTTTGGCCGCCTCAGCCAGAACTAAACCTCTCATAACTAACCACCTAAACAAAGTCTGATCATCAACTTAAATTGATTTACTCGGTTAACCTCATAACTGACCTTCTTAACAAATGCGTCCTCCCAAAGCCCAGCGATCTCACTATGAAAAGTTGTTATCTCCTCACAGATCGCCTTTAGTGCGGCTTGTAGATCTCAACCCTAACATGCTATTATTGCCTCAAGCTCAGCCATATGACGAACCAAGGCTCCAGGAGAATACCAATGGGCCTAAAGATTCCCACTCCAAACCACATCAGCTTTAGCACGACGACTGAACACTTCCCTCTCACCTCTAATTGGTCTCTCGGGAATCGAAACTATACGAATGATTGAGTCATCAACGTTTGCCATGAATTATTTCGCGATGGTGTCCACATCTGTGGAAGGAGCATCCATCAGCAAGCTTTCAAAAAAAACAGGGGGTAAGGAAAAAGACAAGAGGGAACAATTTACCTAGGATCTGATTCACATCAAACATGTCCTTTCACCCGCAGATCATCTGCCAACCCCATCTCGTCAGGCGTGAGTTTCGCACTGCCCACTCATTGAATACTATATAAGAGATGGGTATTCATGACCAACGACTTAAGAAGTGTCCACTCCGGCCGACCGAGAACTGAATCAAACGACTCCACCCTCCCTTCTTCAATCTTTTTTGATCTTTTGGCCCATTTCTTCCTCGACGGTTCAACCTCGAAACGATGTGATCTGATCCAATGAGCGGCGAACATCCTAGCCTTATCAGCTGATTTTAACACTGAGTCAGATCGCTCCTCCATAAAGAGGCCTCAAACAACAAACTGAAATCCAGCAGAGGAACAAAATCTGGATGATTGAGCAACAACTAGTGTTCCCTATAGAATGAACATTGACACAGAAACCCAGGGTATTTATTCATGATGTCAATAAATGAATGTTGATATAAAATTCGTTTTGCCTTTGTTTGCCTTTTTGTTAAAAAAAGAGGGAATAATAAAAATTTCCCTTTTTCTTATTACAGTTAATACTATCAAAGAGCAAGAAAATTTGAGAAACTTAATATGTACATCAAAAGTAGAAGCATGAATCACAAATACATCTCAAGGACGGTAAAAAGGGTGAAGCGACCTCACAGGCCCTACCATGGGCAGCCTAAGAATAACTGCCCAACCAAGCATATCTTTATGTTATCGGAGCGGTGTGTTTCGCATAGAGGGGAAGATCACCTCCAAAGGATTCAGACAGAGCAAGAAAAATTGATGGTCCCTAAAGCTCTAGGCGTGGAGACTCGGTCTTCTGGGGAATAGGCAGACGACCTAGCGTCCATTCGACCCAACAACCTCTCGGCTCCACAACCGTCCGACCAAAATGCCGATCGGTCTTACTTTGCAGACCCACGGGCCAAATTCACTTATGTGCCAAAGTACCCCTACCATACCTACATATTATAGGGGTATAATATGTAATTATATCAAGATCCCTTGCTATAGATGGACGTCTAATTCATGAATAAAGGTTACACAATTTTACTATTCAGTACTGCGCTATAATTCTCCCTATCTCCCCCCCTCTCCGCCTTCTTTTGATTTCCAGGACTCTCCCGGACATATTTGAATTTATCCGAGACAAATTTGAATTTAACATTTAGTGTTATGAACAAATGTATTAAAAACTGTTTCACTTTTACAAAAAATAATAATTGTAAGTAATATTACAGATTTTGAGTAATATATACATATAAATATGAATATATGTATTAAAAAGCATTTTACTTTTTCAAAAAAATAATAATTTTATGTAATATTAATGATTTGAGTAATATGTTAATAAACTGAATGATAGTGTCAGATAGGTATATAGGTATGATTTATGTGGTGTGCATATAAATGTCTTTTAAATGGCTTTATCCTTTCTAAAAAAATTGATATTAAACCAGTATATTATAGTTAAAACAAGGGACATGCCCAAAGCAAAAAAAAAAAAAAAGCAGATCTGATTTCTTGTCCAAATCAATCAACAACACTGATTCAAGACATCCGATTAATGAAAACTTCCACAGACTTTTTGTTCTTTAAGATCAAAGACTGCAAAATCCACCAAAAAGAAAAACTAGATATTTTTTTCTTCTCAGCAACAGAAAAATCGAAGAGCTCAAGAAGCCGGGGCGCTCTGCATTTCAACAACCTTCTTCCAGGAAGGTCGCGACGAGATCTCCTCCCACCACCTCGCCACATTCTTCCTGGACTTGATGAGATGATCTCGATCGGCGATGTAATGTCCGTTGGGGAGATGAGAAAGATCCGCCAGGGTGAACTCATCGCCGGCGAGGAATTTGCTCTCTCCAAGACGCTTCTCGTAAACGTCGAGCACCTTCGCAAGCTTCCTTTCGTTCTCCTCGATGACCTTCGCGTCCTGCTTCAGACCCATGCGAGGGGCAAAGGCTAGCTGCAAAACCAGTACAGAGCTCGGCGGGTCGAAGTTCTGCGCCTCCGCTTCTAGCCACTGCTCAACCCAAGCCCGATCCAGTAAGCCACGGCCGTGAAGCCCTTTGTAACCTTGATCGGCGTACTTGTCGCAGATGTATCGGCATATGGCGCGAGACTCTGCAGTTTATTTGTTTGATAAAATGCCTGAGAGAGAGGGAAGAAGAAAATGATGAAATGGGGGGAGATTACTGACCGAAAAGGCTTGTGTTCTCGTCTTTGAAGGCTGGGACTTTGCCGAATGGCTGTAGAGGAAGATAGGGTTAGTGTTTTGGAGGTAGAGAGGGAAGGGTAGGAGGGAGAGAGCGGACCTGGAGCTTAAGGAAGTCGGGGGATCTGTGCTGCCCTTTTGACATATCTACAGCGGCAAGCTCGAAGGGGACGTCTTTCTCGAGAAGGCAGGCGAGGACTCTTGAGACCGCCGTTGAGATCGGGGGGCCGTACACTGTGACTCCGGCCATCTTCTACGAAGGGAAAGTGTTTTGGTTTGAGAGGATGGTATGGAGGTCAGGGTTTTGTGGCCTGGAAGGATGGATGGAATTGAATACGGGAATAAAAAAATGGTAGGGATTTAAATACGAATTTTGTTTTATATTTACAAAAAGTTTAAATTTTAAAATGGCAAATTTTCGAAATAATATTTTTAATAATTTATATAGGATAGCAGTTTAAAGTAAAAATTAAAATAGAACAAGTCATTCTGTAATTGCAAATTTAATATTTAATTTGAAAAAAAATATTATATTTTTAAAGATTGAGGTGATTTAAAAAGTAAAATTAAAATATTACAACTTTTTTTCAACAATAAGTGTAAGAAATAATTTCATTAAAAATATAACTTAGTATCATAGTTTAATATAGAAAAAAAATATTTTATCATTTTAAATTTTGTAAAGTATTTAATTTTATTATGATAAAATTTTATATTATGTATAAATTTAATAGTCTTTTTAGGAAGTTTAAATTATTAAAAAATTTAACTAATAAATTAAAAGTATATTATACACATGTCAATTTTGTTTTGACATCGACAAGTAGTGACTCTTGAATTTGCATGGGACAATGAGCATGCCTTTATTATAAATTAATTTGATGGGACAATGCATGCTCATTATGGAGGGGAAAGGTAACTTTGATGGTACAATGCATGTTTTTAATATATACTCATTTGATGTGTCATTTATTATTTATAAAAGGCATCTATTTTCTCATTATTTTAGTTTTCAGGGCTCTTTAGAATGCTCTAATGCCAATTCGATCACTTTTAAGTGACTCACACGGACTCCAAGGCACAATAGATGGCCAATATCATGGAAGCCTTCCGGTGCCTACGATGACTCCATGGTTGCTTACACTGTCAGGAGAGCCATGGAGCCCAGTGGTTCACGATCGGACATACATAATTATGAAGCTGAGCTGGTGCTCTAAGGTTCAACTGACTAGGTTTTAGTTTGGTGTTCCCACCTAATGAATTACCTTAAATGTCTATTTTTTAAAGACTATTTTATGCAATCACAACACCTTTTATTATTAGTCTTTCAAGTCTTCCTCAGGATGTAATTGAACACGAGGACATTTTTGTGAGAGATCTTTTGAAGCAAGAATACAATAATTTGATTTTGTATTGTGGTTTGGTTATAAAGGTTTTTTTATATTATCCTTCTCATGTATTTTTTTTTGTTTAGTATAGTCTGATTTACTTTTTTTATAAATATCTTTGTAGCTACTTTTTTTTATTTTGTCTTAGTTTGTATATTTTTTTAGTTTATATTTTCTTCAAATGCATTTCTAAGAAAGGGGGATTTGAAGAGTGACAAGCTCTAAGATTCTCATTTTGGTTAGAATAAAAAGGGGCCCAAATAGTGTCTTTGTGGTTTAATCCTCAAGATACATTTTCTCATTACATGTTTTATGCATTCCGTCGTATATTTCTATATACTTAGGGTTTTGGTTTTTCAAGCAGAATCCTCCTTTGTATTACACCATATAGGTTTAGATTTTGTGAGTGAACACCCTGGTGGCAATACTTGTGTGACCCTTAGTTTGACCTGTGGTGATAAGAAAAAAATAAGCATTAATCATTGGGTTGTCTTAATGAGTAATGTAAGTATGCCCCTTGGCCCTGCACCGCACGTCTTACATGTAGATACTAGTTTGGCAACACTTTGTAGTTCTTGTTTAAGACTAAGGCTAAGGTGTAGCTAGGGATTTTTGTACACAACTATAATTGTTTTGGTTTGTGTTTGTTGTTGTACGCTTTGTGTGCCTTTTTTACTTTCATTACTAGGTGTGAGACTTGTGTACTATTATATTAGAATAGTCTTCTTTCTAGGGAATTGTATCCAATAAGGATAAGCTCGCTTAGAATTTAAACAAACACATATTTTGCATTTGTTGGCTAGCTCTCTTTCGACCAAATATAACATTTTATATGTGATGTGTAGAAAAACATGCTTAATTTTATCTAAATTTTGCACATTTTTATGAATGAAATTGCAATTTAAAGAAGGGTATTTTCATATTTTTCAAGCAGATATAACAAGTAGTGGAAGTGGAACGAAGTGGAAAAAAAATGAAACAAAAAGGAGTAAATATGGAGCAATTGGAGATCCAAGGGACCGACGCCAAGGCGTCACTTATTTTGGCACTCGAGCGCCAGTGCATAGCCGAGCAGATAGAGAGACTCTCGCCTAGGCGCTAGCAACTACTGGGCAGTTTTTTAGGAATTCTCCCCATGATGTAAGGAGTGATTTGGAGGTTAAAGGTAGTTCTTTAAGGAGATTGAGAAGAGGATTTTAAAAAAGAAGGAGAAGAGAACATTAGGGGTTTTCTTTAGGAGACCTTTAAGGATTTTACTTAGAGATTTTGATGAGATTTAAAAGGTTTATTGTGAGGCGATTATTCAGTACAACAGCAAGGGTCTTAAGGATCATCAGAGAGCAATTTCAAAGCCTTGTAAAAACGAAGAGGCTAGATATTGTGCATTTGTTGTATTTTACTTTTGTAAAACACAATTACCTAGTGGATTTGCTTTGTGTTAATGATGTTTTGTGTTGTTTTTTCGATGCTCAGTGAGTAGTCCTTTCACCTTTTTCTTATAATGATTATGTTAGGTGTACGAATTATACAGTGCTTGTGAAACAAATTTTAAATCTTTAATGTGATGAGTATTCTTCAAAGCTTCCTTTACTTTTCATTCTGGCCAAAGGATTTGTTAAAATATGTTTTGATCCATAATGAGTCGGGAGAGCTATGGAAAAATGATTAGAATATTCACGTTGAACTATAGGTTATGAATCAAAATTAAACTATAGAGAGACGCAAATAGATAGAAAAATAATCTTTGATGGGTTCAAATTGGGGTTTAAGGAATTAAAACTAGTTTAATCAAACTTCTTTATGCACTTGAGCGAGGGTAAAGAAGAGAATTGTTATGGGATTGACATTCAAGACTCAAAAACTGATATTACTAATATGACACATACGCTTGTGTAGGTCCCTTTAACTTAGAATTAGGGTGTGTCGGAATTTTAGCATTGGTGTAGGGCTTGACAAGAATACACACAAGTCACATCAAGTATTTTGGCATTGTTGCATGATCCCCAAAATTATAGTTGTGTAAAATCAATAAAGTTGACTCTGCTTTGTAGTGATGCCAAAAACTTGGTCGTTATTTTATGAATAAGAAATTGAAGTAATTTATATTGGGATTCTACGCAAGTATATGTATCGTTATCAAGTAATAGAGGCCTTTCTGATTAAGCCCCAAATATCGATCTCATGAGGAAGGTTTAAATTTGAAATGAAAATTTAAATTAGGAAAGTCACAACAAAAAAATAAAATCTACTTTACTAATTTTGAATATTTAAAGTGCTATCAGAACTAAATTATCAACTACTAGTAAAAGTGTAAAGCAAAGCTAAACTATAACTATCAAGCTATATTTTTTGCGATGAAGTTATCTAATATGAGAAAGCATCTTCTCCAATACAATGAATTTTTGGTTAAATGAGAGAGATCAATGGTTTGAATTTGTATTGTGCAAAATAGAAGCAATTTTAATTCTCTACCCTTAGTTAAGTGTTATAAAGAATCGTTGACTAATCTTAGGTTTAGTCTCTAAATTTGTGGTTAGACTGCGAGAATACTGGCTCTCACTCCAGAGCTTCCACTTCCCTTCTCCTGATCCTGAAGGCTAACTGAAGGCTAACACTCGCTTTAGTTCTTAAACACTAAGACCAAATTTGGGATTTTAGTCGGTCACCCTAGAATATCCAATTCTTCACCCAGTAATTTATATTTCCGTATTCATTTGCACCCAATTCCATGAACGAAACACTCCTTCATGGAGTTGAATGTGATTCTCACTTTGTTGTAAACTCATACTCCATTCCTGGATAGTATGTTTCACAACAGATGTTAACATTTCAATGAGCCAAATTGAAAAGTAAATTAAGAACAGAGTGAAAAATCATCACAATTTATTTTATATTTTAAAATTGGCACATCCAAATTATCTCTTCATTTCACCATATCTCAGAGTAGGGAGAAAGACAAAAAAAATCTACTCATACCTCATAAGGAAGATACGATAAAAAAGTAATTTAATAAATAAAAGAAAGTTTATATAACACTAATGAACAAACAATACCTATCTTTAACTCTTCCTCATAGCAAATTCCTTGTAGCCTCTCTTGGACTCTTTCTCTCTTTACAACTTTACTCTTTCTCTCTTTACAAGACCCTTGATTTTCTCTTCAAAGATGTAGTGAAGAAGAAATCTCTCACTTCTCTCTCTCTTTAACAACTTTTAGGAGAAATTACACTTAGACTCACTACACTAAACAATACACTCAATGAAACACTCAAGAAGACTCAATGACACACTAGCCCCCCTTTTTCTAATCAATTTTTACTCTAAATAAAGCTTAATGTCGGTTTTCTAAGAGGGTGCCTCCAATAACTCCTCAAAAAGTATCCAAATTCATTGAATCTTCTAGAAATTGGCCCTACACAAACACTGGGCCTACATTGGCGCCGTCGGCGCCCGTGGTGCGAATGAATTTATTTGCTCTCCGTCAAATGATGTCGTCAGCGCTCAGTCTGGCGTCGTCGGCGCCCTGCTGTTCATGACTCCTCCTTCATGCTGGCGCCATCAGCATCCTTGTTGGCACCATCGGCGCTGAGTTTTTCTTCCAAAATGTCATTTTGACTCCAAATTTTATCCTTTTTGCTTCCTTTTTACTTCAAGTGCAAAAAGTCATCAACCTGTAATAAAACATGAAAAATACCATCAATTAAAGCGTAATATCACCAAAAATGAGTATAAAATATAGGTCTAAAAATGCATATATATTTGTTGTATCAAAATCCCCTAAACTTAAATATTACTTGTTCTCAAGTAACTGCTTTACTACATAAAATATATGACTTATAGTAAAGAATTTAACTTCTAAATTTTTATATTTTGGCCTATTAAATATCATAGTATAACTTAAGAAAAATTTAAAATAACTCAAGTTAATATTAAAGGTATAAGAATATCTAGCAATCAA